CCAAATATTAAGCATTGAGGCCTTTAAATTTATATTGGAACACTAATTTTTGTGCCTAAAAAACTTATTTTTACTATCCTTTGTTATAGCATCTTCGATTTTACAGATGTATATGCTTATATCAGGAATAGTGATGCCAACTTAATTAATTTTAATAAACAAAATAATTTTTAACTCAAAAATATTTTATTTATGATAATTGCTAAAATTGCAAGAAATCATAATTAAATTTTGTAATATAAATTCTAAAATACGTAACATAGGATGACATAATAAAAAAGTTTAATTAACTATGTTATAAGTTCAATTAGCTTTGTTATTGTGATAATAAATCCTTGAATTTAAACATAATAACAAAATATTTGAATTCGAATATAACCTAGTTTTTAATATGATTGAAGAATTGAATTTATATTCAAATGTATCATCACAAGCTAACACATATTCTGAAGAAGATATGCCAATAAATACAGAACAAGATCAAAGTAATCATAAATGTAAAAATGTTGGTCAACCAAGAGAACAAATTTGGAAGTATTATATAACCAGTAACAATATCGGTTCTCGTAGTGCATCTTGTTATTATTGTCCAAAGTCTTGGAGTTGTGGATGTCCTGGTGAAATGGAAGCTCATCTTGCTAATATTTGTCCTAGTGTTCCTAAGAATATTAAAGAATATTGGCAAGAATCGCTTTCTAAAAAAGTCATTAACTACAAAAGAACAAAACATTCTAAATTAGATCAATTGAATATAAATAATAAGCCAGATAAAATATTGCCGATACATGAACAAAATGAGATTGACAAAGACGTTTTAAAAGCATGGATTACAGCAGGAATCCCATTTGAAATTATTAATAATCCATTTATCATTAATTTATTTAAATGACTAAATATATCATATACACCACCAAGCCGTATGACACTTTCAAGTAGATTATTAGAGCAGGAAATTGCAGGAATTAATCTTAAAATTAATTCTAAATTAGAAAAATGCGACTATTTAACTCTTGCACTTGATGGATGGTCTTCGCCAAATAGAAATTCACTTTATAATTTTATAATTTCAACTACAGATCATCATGAATATCTTGTTGCACTTAAAGACTATTCTAAAAATTCTCAAACTGGAGTATTTATAGCGAATAAGATTGAAACTATTATTAAAACTATTGGAACAGATAAATTTGCAGGAATAGTAACAGATAATGGTAGCAATGTTAGGGTTGCTTGCCAAATTATTAATAATAAGTATCCGCATATCTTAAACATTTGTTGTGCTGCACATTCACTGAATCTAATTGTGACAGATTTAGTAAAAATTTCATATATAGACAAGTTTATTTCTCAAGGCAATGAGATAATAAAATTTTTTAATATGAATCATCGTGCAAATGCACTATTAAAAGAAGGATTGACAAAAATGCAAATTAAAAGTGATGACTTAAAATCATATACTAAAACCCATTGGTGTTCTCTCTGGAATATGTCAAATTCAATGTTATGAGCATATCCTATATTTGATTGGGTAATTATTTTAAATTTTATATATATTAGTATAATAATATTTATTTTAATATATGATATTGTTATTAATCTATTTACTAAATTGATTTATTATATAATATAGATTAAATGTGAACATCCAAATATATTAACCAATCAAAATATATTTAATCGTATTGGTAATGAAGATTTTTTCCGGATGTGTAAAATGGTATCAGAAATCTTCAACCCTATTAAGGAGACTATTAATATTATGGAATCAAAAACAGCAATGATGTCAGATTGTTTTATTGGATTTATTAAATTAGCAGCTGCAATTAATCGAATATCTGATGACAACAATTTAAAAATAGATGCTATTAAAATATTTAATCGTCAGTACGAAGAGTTTGATCATGATGTCTATTTACTTGGATATTTTTTACATCCTGGCTATCATGGATTAGGATTAAAAAAAGAATATTCAGAAAAATTTGTGAAATTGCAGCTAATTGCTAGAAAGAATTAGGGCACGATGAATCATCTTGTTCAAATTTGTTAGCTAATCTTAGAAAATATAAATGAAAGAAAGATCCTTTTGATATGAAGTACAAAAATGGAAGTGAAACACCTCTTAGTTGGTGGCTTATATTTGACGATGATGAATATGATGAATATCCTATAATTGACCTTGCAACTAAAATATTTTCGATTATGCTTCTCAGGCAGAATGTGAAAGGAACTTTTCTATTTTGAGATGGTTTTATGAAGATCGCGATATAGGCTTGACGTCCATCACATTGAGTCCATGTCAAAAATTCGATCTTACTATTTAATGAACATTAAAAAAGAATTAACTCATTATAAAAACGATTTAACCTAGCAAAAACTAAGAGATTCAGAAATGACACAATAATTCCAAGCATTGATGAGTTATTATCTGATTATGAATATTTACCATTAGGGACATTAGAGAATCAAGTTAACAAATCAACTAATAATACATTAGAGGATCAAGTTAACAAATCAACTAATAATACACTCATGATTTCGGAAACAATAGATATTACTAATCTGTCATTTTCCTCTGATGGTCAATTGCAAGTTAATATGCCAACAAATAGTAATCTTGTCGAAAACCAGAATTGGCTTGGAAATATGAATAACAACACAGAAGATTTAGTAAATCGGATGTTTGAAATGAACGATGAGTAGGATTTATAGTTAGATTTATATAAATAATATAATTTAAGCACCAAAAAAATAAAACTGATTATTATAATTGTATGTAGCGATAGTAATTTACATATTTAATATAATAAATAGTACATCGGTATATTTAAATATATCATTTATAATATAATTATTTATCATTAAATAGTTTATACATTAGCCATTTAATATAATTTATACTGTATTTTAACTTTTATAATGCAAAAATTAATTATCGTTTTTTGCATAATTTTAAATGTTTAAATTGCTAAAACAAAAATTATTTTAGTTTTAGCTTTTTAAATCACCAAATTAATTTAATTAAGTTGGCATCGCTAGTATCAATCGAATCGTGCTGTCATATAAACATTCATATTTCTGCTCAAGCTGATCTCCAGAATTGATTTTTTTTATAAATTGAAGAAATCACTAATAGCAATTGAATTATTATCTATAATATTCTACATATTGAAAAATAAGTAAATAATGACTAAATTATTTGATTTGATATTTTAGTTATATCTTTATGTAACAGTGATAGTTTAATTTTTTTCTGTTTAATTTTTAACTATGGTATAACTAGTTTTATCAATTTTATTTTTACAGTTTTAACTACAAATTATTAGCAGTTTTGTCACATAACAAAATTTAAAACTTAATGACGCTAAAATGTTATATCAGTATCACTAATTGGAATAAATAGTTTTAAATCAATTTCTTTGACACAGCATTTCGCAAGATAATCAAACTTTGTCCACCTGTCATAATTCATTAGATTACATTGTTTGATTTGCTTCTCTAGGTATTATACTGCATGGTGTCTTAGTTATAGGAAAGATTGAAGATAAAGGAACCACATATTCACTGATTTGATTTTTAAGAGTCTTTTCTCAATAAATATTTCACAAACTATTGCCATTAAGTTATGTGAAAGTAATGAGTGAAACACTTATTGAAAGAGTTTTTTAGTCTTATGTGAGATAAATAAGAAATAAATATAATAAAACAGTCATATTAACACAGGTCGAACAAATAAATAATAGGTAAACAATGAAATATCAAGTTTCCATTATATACTCTTTATTCTACAATATATCTGTCAAATAACTGCAGCATAATGACAACATATTAGCAGTATAACAGTAAAATATCAGGAGGTAAATTGATAACGATAACATAATAGTATAATAATACAGGCCAATGCCAAATGCTTGGGCCAACCTAGCTGACAAAATTACTCAGGCTGGTCAATCAGGCTAATTATATTATTAAAAAATTTTGACAATATAAAATTATTATAATATAATTTTCTATTAGTAATTTTTGTAATTTTACCAAAAAAATTGTCATGCTTTCAAAAATTTCCAATAATAATACTTGTGTTCTATGTCTATAAACTGTCTATCACTATAAAAATTTTCAATATTACATTGACTTTTTTTTTATTCTAACAACCGTTTTTATTGTTTTTGAAACATCTGGTAATAAATTGATCAAGTGGTTGTTTTTCCAATTTGACAAATTATTAATTTTGGCATAATAAGTATAACATTTATTATTTAGTAAAGTATTTTAAAATCAGGTGTATATGTTTTAAAATGATTACTAGTCAATTTGCAAATTAAAATTTATACAAAACATATAAAATACTACATTGTTTTAAATAATTTCATTTTTATATTTTATTCATATTTTCTGATTATAATATATAAAATTATTAGTTGAGCTTTTTTTATTAGCTTTTATATTTTATATTATTTAGGTTTAGTAGATGTAATTTTCTTACAAGTAGTAAAAGTTTTCAATATATTCATATCTTTGAATTGTTTAAAAACTCAAGTTATTGAAAATCTACTAATATATTTTTATTATAATGCCAATTTGTAAATACTTTATTGAATTAATATCAAATTACATTTTGTTTTTTCCTTAAATTTTTTCTCTATTCTAAAATTTGTGTATTGTAAACATTATTTAATTCTAATTTGGTTATATATATTGGCACAGAACTTTATATTAAAAAAATTTCAAGCTAATAATTATTTAAAATTTTTGATTTTTGTATAAAAGGTTTTAGAATAAAATTTTACTTACTAAACAAAGTTTTTATATTAGATATAAAGAAACTTTGAAATATTATAATAAATTTTTAAATCTGTTTTGCATTAATCAATTACATTCTTTAAATTATAGTTTATTTTTATAACTTTTTATTTTCATTTTTTAAAACTTTTTTATATAAATCAAATACATAATTTAATTTATTTAAATATAATTCTTTATTATTATTATTATTAAATTTTTATTTATTTATATAATTTCAAGTAGGAAAAATAATAATATATGAATATACCAATTAGATATAATATATAACTAGAAAATTATTCCTAAACTACATTATAGTTGCTATATATATTTAACTACATTTAGTGTAATATTATTTTCTTATTTTCTGTTATTAGTTAAATTAACTATTATTAATATTTAACTACAGAAAAAGTAAAAAAAATCTTTAAGATTATTAAATTAATAAAAACAAGTATATATGACAAAATTTTGAGAAAGTGTTTTGAAAATAAAGAATTCTATATTGGTATTAAAAGTGAAAGTAGTATTATTAAAGTTGAATAGTTTTGAGATAAAAAAGTAAGTAATTTTTTCTTTTTTGTTAAAATAGTAATTTCTTATACAGATTTCCATTTATGTTGTTTAACATTTTGAGTTTGTTATTGTGAGGTCCAATAATGTGACATAAATACTATGCCAAAACCTCATATAAGAACAGATATAACGATTAAATCCTTAATATAAATATCCTAGCAATTAATTGCATTAATGTGATTAATTAAATAAATCAAGAAAGTGAGATTAATTAGATAAAGGAGATTAATTAGAGAAAGGAGATTTATTAAATAAATGAGTTTAAGTAAATAAATTAGAGGAATTTAATTAAAGAGTTTAATAAGATTAATGTAATTAATAAAGTTATAATTAAAAAAATATTATAAATAAAGGCTGAAATGGCCCTTAGGAGCAGTATGCTTCATTTGCTTTATTAAAATAATAAGTCCCAATACACTACAATGTACATAATAAACACTAATACTATTACTATTACAAACTTTGTGAACCCTTATAATATCATTGTTCAAGCCCTTGTACATGTAACTTACCCTACTTGTATTTATTGATCCAAAGTAACTAAAAGTCTTAATCACCCACTAGCCAAATCTAACACTCTCTTTCAAAAAGGTTACTTATCATATATTATGCAAGATATTAAATTGTAGAGCAACAGAGTCACAATCTTCTGAACCTAATACTATATAGCAGAATTGATTTAGTTTAGTAGTGAATTTAATAAAGAGATAAGAAAATTGTTGAATTTTTTAGAATAAGTTGTAATTTTTGTAATAGTTTAGAGTTAATGTTTTCTAAGTAAGTAATAGTAATATATTATTTGTATTAGAGTTTAAAAAAGGGTTATATGAATTAAAATTTTGTATTATTGTATGTAGTAATATTTTTAACAAGTTTAATGAGTCTTAAGTATTGGTTATTTCATTAATAAAAATGTCATATGAGTTATATGAATAAAGAAAAATATTGTAATAAATGTTTAGTATTTTTATATCAATTACAATATAAGCAGTTTGGAGTTAAATAAAGAATAGAATAATAAGTATTTAAATTAGCTATTATTAGTAAGTTGTTGAGTAGTATTTTGTTTCTAAAAAAATATAGATTAAGATTGACCTTTTAAGAATTAATAATTTCAGTTAGTAGTTTAGATTAAAGAAGTTTGTTAAATGTTTAAATTGTGAGTAGGTTTTTATAAAATTTATATAATTTGTATGTAATTAGAATTTGATTTTAAATAAAAAAAATAAAAAGATAAAAGTAATTTAGATTAAGTTTAAATTTAATTTTGTTTGCTTTGTATTTAGCTAAAGCATTTACTGTATTGTGTAAAATATTATTTGAATAAAATTTAACTTTGTGTATCATGTAGTTGATATTCTTATATTTAGTTAAAAAGTTTAGAATAAAAATAATATTTTAATTATTTTGTTTAGTTTATAAGTTGTAGTTATAGAATATTAAATATATAAAGGTTTGAATAGTAGATAAACTTTTAAGATAAATATGAATTTAATAATTAGAAGATAAAATAAGAAAAGAGAAATTAGAGCTGCTAATTTTACTTTTGTAGAGATTGGTGCATAGATTATAAAGGCATTAGATTTGATTTGTATATTATTCTTGAGTATTCAAGCAATACTAATAGAGATATTGTATTTTTAAGAGTTTATTATTAAGGTATTTATGTAGAAATGTAGGTTGTTTGAGTTAAGAAGTAATTTTTTTTTGTGTAGGCCTATAAGTTGGTCTTGATATATAAGATCAGATATTGTATTTTGAATTAAGAGAATAGTAGTAAGAGTATTAAAAAGTTTGCAAAACATGCTTATATAATTTTGCATAAATGTTTTGAAGTGCTTAGATTTCTTGAGTATTGATATTTAATTAAAATAGTTTTTTCTTTTTTGTGCTTTGTATTCAAAATTAATAGTTTGTTTGTAGTTTATTTAAGAAGTTATAGATATAGAAAAAATATAAATTGTATTGAATGTTGTAATAATTCAATGTTTTAAAATAATTATTATAGAATTATATATGTTTATTATTCTGCCAATATGCCAATTTTTAGATAAGATATAAAGTATTCATGTGTTTTTAAAAATATTATATTAAAGTATAATTAAATTGAGTTTATTTAAAAATAGATTAATTACTTGAAGTTAAAGATTGGGCTATATAATTCAAATAAGGAAAAAGGATATTTTATTTGAAAGTATTTTGAACTATTTTGGAATAAAACCTTAAAGAGATTTGAAAGTTCTTAAAGAGATTTGAAAGTTCTAAAATAAATATTTTTTTAAAAAAATAGATTTAATTATCAGTTTGAATAGTTGTTTAAGAAAAAGAATTTTATTGTTTTT